TTGGATCCCACAAACCGACGCCTGCCGTGGCGTGCAATACATCAGCTGTCACTTGCAGTACGCCACCACACGTGCCACAGCAAGCCGTGTACCAGCTGCAAGCGACGTCGAGCAACCTCTTACCCGAGGTGCAGGTTGTCACAACGTCGGCCGCCCCCGGCGCAACACTTCGCGGAATGTTTCAGCTTCAGTACCATGACTGTACGACGATGCCGATTGTGTTTGATGCTACGGCGCCGGTGCTGCAGTCGGCGCTTGTTGCGTGTCTCTATACGGGCGTCACCTCGGTTACGCGCAGTGGGCCGGACGCCCAACTCGGCTACGCGTGGTCGATCACGTTTGCTGTCGAGGCAGGCAACATTCCTCTGCTGACCGTGTCGACGCTGGCACTTCAAGGCACAGGTGCGACGGCTGTAGTGACTACCCAAACCGAGGGACCAGCGGGCACCGTCGTGGGCGAAGTCCAGCATATCTCGTTGTCGCAGCCGCCGATTCCGTCCGAAGTGCAACTGCTCCAAGTGGAATGGGCGGCCACGGTCTACGAGATCCAGAGCATCGGTATCACGGCGTCTGTGCCATTTGCTGGTACGTTTACTCTTGGGTATGCTTTCGGCACGACGGCGGCACTGCCGTTCAACGCCGATGCAGCAGCGGTGCAAGGTGCTCTTCAAGGGCTACCGGGTGTCGGCACTCTCAACGTCTCAGTGGTCCACGCAACCAACCTCCGAGGCTTTGTCTGGAGCGTCACGTTCTTAACAGGCGCCGGCAGTCGGCCGCTTTTGACTGTCACCAAGTCGGGTCTCACACCAAGCGCTAGCGTCACAGCGAGTGTCTCAAAGCTTGCCACCGGCACGACACCGATCGGTGGGACCTTCTCAGTGACGTACGGCAGCAGTACGACGGCGGCACTCCCAATCACGGTGACGACGACCGCTCTGGCCACAGCCTTGTCCAGCTTGAGCGGCATGCCGTCTGTGACCGTCACCAAGGTCTTTGCGGTGACCGCGACAAAGTGGCAGATCACGTTTGGTCTTATGCCGTCGCCGATGCCACTGCTTGTAACAACGAGCGCCTTGACGGGGAGCGGTGCTGCCGTCACGATGACGCGACTTGTGACGGGCGGCACCTTGCTTGGTGGTAGCTTTACACTTGGCTACAACAGCTTGACGACGGTAGCAATCCCGATTGCGGGTGCGTCGGCGACCGTAGTAGCGGCGGCACTGGCATCGATCGTCCCGTCCGTCACCATTTCAACGTCGATGAGTCGGTTCAACTACACGTGGAAACTGACGTTCCCCGCGGGTCTTGGTGACATTCCGTCCTTGACGCTCAACATGGCTTCCATCACGGGCACTAACGTCATCGGGTCCGTCGCGACGCTGGTGAATGGCACCTACGCACCTCTGGGCGGCACCTTGCAGCTGCAACTGGGCAGTGTCACAACGTCCGGCGTTGCACCAACGGCTACGGCAGCGCTTGTTCAGAGTGCTTTGCAAAGTGCGATGGGCCCCACGGTCGGGTCGGTCGTCGTGACGGCCGCGGCACCGGCTGTCGGTGTTGGCACCGCATGGCTGGTCACGTTCGTCGACTCGTGGCATCTCAACTACACGGTCAATCTCGACGCCATCCGCGTCGTTGCCAGCGCCTTGACAGGCACGAACGCCACCGCAGCTTGGCGCCGGGTCATTGGCATTGAGCCTACTCAGATGCCGTTTACCTCTCCATGAACGGTGCCGACTTTACGGACACGGGACTCGCGTTCGGTATCACGACGCGATTGTCGTCGATGCGATAACGCCCGTATTTGGTCCCGTGGACGGCGGCACGCTTATCACGGTCGCCCTTGCGGGTCAGAGCGCCAATTGGTCGGTAAACGACGCCGCCCTATTCTGTGCTTTTGGTGCCTCGATCGTCCAAGCAGTCGTTGTGAGCCCGCTGGTCCTTCAATGCAAAAGTCCGTCGGCGACGATGCCCGGGGTCGTGCCACTGGAGATCAGCGCTAATCGTATGGACTTTAGCGCGTCCAAGGTCGTGTTTGAGTACCGTCCGACGATGGAGCTCGCGTCCATCACGCCGACCCACGGTCCCATCACCGGTGGCACCCGTGTTTCGATTGCGACGCCCCACATCAACGTCCTCGACGTGTACCAGTGTGCCATTGGTGGCGTTGTCGTCGTGGCGGAAGAAGTGACTCCGTCGGCGATCGTGTGCCGGACGCCGCCCGTTGCCTCGCCGCGGACAGTCGCGATCGAAGTAACGTACAACGGCCAGAGCTTTACGGCGACGCAGTTGCAGTTTATGTACCACGCACCCCTGCGCACGAGCAGCATCGCACCGGCATGGGGCGCTGCAATCGGCGGCAACACGGTGCTCGTTCGTGGCGGTACGTTCGACCCGACGCGACCGGCGACGTGTCGCTTTGGCGAAAAGATCGTCGACGGACTCGTCCTCTCGACGGAGTTCGTGCAGTGCGCTCCACCCCGCTTTGATCCGATCGGCCAAGTGCAAAAAATCACCACGTCCGCGTCCGGGTACTTGCCCGACGTCCAAGAGGTTGTCGTGTCGGCGGCGCCCAACACGTCGCTCGTACTCCAGGTGGAAACATCTAGTGACGCGCCGTTGCTGGAAACCCAAGTGCTCTCAATCACAGGGCAAACAATCCCGGAGGTACAGTCAATTACAACGTCGGTCACCGCGCTCTCGAGCGAGATCCGCACCATCTCGACACGCATGACGCCGACGGTCACCGAGGTCAAGACGCTTCAGACGACGGCGACCGCCACCAGCGAAGTTCAGCAAGTTGTCGTTAGCGTCGACACGTCGAGCCTGACGAGTGCTCAAATGGCGATGCAGACCTTGGCGGTGCCTGTGCAACTCGGTGAAACTGGCACCATCGCTCTGGAGCTCCATGGCGCGCTCTCCGTACAACTTCCATACACGTTTACCGGGGCGCAGCTGCAGGCGGCGCTGCAGGGCATGCCTACGGTCGGCGCCGTCTCTGTCAGTGTCATGACGCCGACACCCAGTACCCGCTTGTATGCGATTACCTTTACGCAAAACACGGGCTCTCTGCTACCGCTCGTGGCCCACGCATACAACTTTGTACTCGTCGCCCCTTCCTCTCTCGTGGTTACGATGGTGGCGGCGGGAACATCGACGGCGCTCAGTGGAACGTTTGTTCTCACATTCAACGGCGGTAGCACTGGGCCGCTCCTGTACGATATTGCGCCGGACGACCTTGCATCGGCGCTGCAGGCGCTGCCGAGTGTCCAAAACCAGGTCGCCGTCGCGACGCAGGGATGCGACTTTAACGGCGCGTGTTCGTGGCTCGTGACTTTTGTAGCGTCGGCCACTGTCCATGGCAACCTGCCACTCATGACTGTGCAAACCGCGGGGCTGCTCGGCACGGGCGCCAGTGCGACCATCCATCCAATTTCCGACGGCAATGTGGTCGGTGGTAGTTTCCAGCTGACGTTCCAAGGTGCGGTCTCGGGCGTTCTCTCGTGTAGTGCCACAGAAGCGGCGATTGGCACCGCTGTACAAGCACTCGTGGGACTGCCAGTGCTCACCGTCACCCGAAAAGGACCCGACGCCGTCAACGGATATACCTGGAATATTACATTCGGTGGCACCCCCCAGGTTATCGGGACTCTGGTACCGATCTCGCTCGGGTCGCTCACTGGCGCCGGTGCCCGCGTCGTTGTTCAGACGTCTCGGCCGGCGCAAATCCCCGAGATTCAACAATTGTCGCTGACGGCAACGTCCTTTATCGGAGGCTCCTTTGCGTTGTCGGTGGACGGCCAAACAACCTCGCCGCTCTTCTCGGACAGCTCGGCCAGTGATGTCCAGATGGCGCTCAATGCACTGAATGATCTCGGCACCTTCGTTGTCTCCAAGAGTACCGCCGATGTCAACGGTGGTTGCCAATGGTACATCACCTTTGCAACGCTTGCCGTCAATCAGAATCTCATTGCCGTCATCACCACTGACAACGACGGCCAGCCAATGCTCCAGGACTCGGGGTCGGGCGACGTACACCTCGCTGTGTCTCGGGTGCAGTACGGTACCAGTGCCCCTATCTCTGGTTCGTTTCAAGTAGCCATCAACGGTGTTCTTTCGGGGCTCATCCCGTTCGATGCGACGGCCAACCAAGTTAAGCAAGCGTTGGAAGTCGTCGAAGGTGTTGGCCAAGTTGCCGTGTCAACGTCCAGTGTTCTCGGGTTCAACAACGCCAACGACTGGACCGTGACCTTTTTGAACCCGCTCGCGAGCCTCCGGTCGATGGTTGCCAGCACGTTAGCGCTCTCTCCAGGCAGCGCGTATGTTCAGTTTGATGTGGTCCAAGCAGGGACTGTGCCGGCCATTCAGTCGATTTCGACGGCGCTCAGTAGCGGCTCCTTCGTCTGTGACTTTGGTGGTGCGCCATCGGTATCCATTGACGCCACAGCAAGTGCATTGTCCGTCGCTGCTGCGCTCATGACCATCCCGTCGATCGGATCCGTCATTGCGTCCGGCCCGGTAGGAGGACCGTGGCAAGTGACCTTCATGCAGCTGGCGGGAACCGTGCCGACACTCGCTTGTGGTGCTGATCAAACCGTCTCTGTCGTTCAGCCATCGACCGCAGTGGGGCTCGGCGGCCAGCTCCGCTTCGGGTACCAAGGCCAATTTACGCCTTTTTGAGTATTGCCGCAACTGCCAACGACGTTCAGACGGCGCTGACAAGTCTTTCAAGTATCGGCGTTGGAAATGTTGCGGTTGCTTTAGGCGTCGCAGGGGTCAACAACGGTCAGACGTGGGTCGTAACATTCACCAACGTTCCTGGTAACCTTCCAGCACTCGTCGTCGATACTACACAGCTCGTGGGTACCGACGCGACCGCTACAGTTTCGACGCTCGTGCAAGGAAATCTGGTGACGGGTGCATTTCAGCTCGCTTTTAACGGCGACACGACACAGCTGCTATCACCACAAATGAGCGCCACCGATCTCGCATCGGCCATCATGAAGCTGCCGTCCGTCAACTGCCGTCGTTGCGTCGCCGTATCGCAGTCCAGTCCGCTCGGTGCTGCCGGGTACAACTGGACTGTGACGTTTCAGGCATTCGATCCAGTGTCGGCGTCGTTCGCGTGGCCGGTCGTTGGTAATGTCGCGTCCCTCGCCATTGTCAATTCCTCGCTGACATGCAGTGGGTTGGTGGCGACGGTCACGACGCTGCAGAATGGGTCCGCGCCGATGCGTGGTAGCTTCGTGCTTGCGTACCGTGCGCAGCCGTCGGTTGCGCTGGCCTGGAATGCGACGCCCGACGACGTTCTCGCAGCTGTTCAGAACATCAAGAGCATCCCCCACTTCGGCGTCGGGTTCGCCGTCTCGCGCTCCGACTTGACCGCGTCGGGCGGTGCCCAGTGGCGCATCACGTTTCCGTACGACTTGCCGCACCCGGACGAAGTCTTTGTCGTTTCGTCGCGCCTCCGTGGAAGCAATGCACAAGTGGTCGTGACCACCGTGACGCCGCAGACCGTGCCCATGGCCGGTAGCTTTACCCTCTCGCACCACGGGCAAGCGACGGCGGCGATCTCGTTCAACGCGAATGCGAGTATTGTGGCCTCTGCACTCTCCGCACTACCAGGGCTGCCATCGGTGGACGTGACGACAGTCCATGTGTCAGCAATGAATCGATACGTCTGGCGCGTCACGTTTGCATCGTTGGTGAATTCGGGAAACCTCCCGCTGCTACTGACGCCATCGGTTGCGATCGGCGGCACGTCGCCCAGTGCCACCGTGGCCAAGCGACAAGCTGGCACGCACAACCAGATACAAGTGATCACGATAAGCGCGGTGACGCTTTCGCCCAACGGTACGTTCACGCTGGCCAGCGCTGGGTTTACGTCGCCAATCGTGCTCTCCATGACGAGCTCGGCCAGCGAGATGACCGCTGCGCTCGTGGCGATACCATCGATTTCGACAGTTCGCGTCGAGCGAGCATTGGCCATGGACGGACACCTTGGTGCGTCATGGTACGTTTTGTTTCTGGATTCAAGCCAAGACCGCTCGCCGCTCGTTGTGACGCCAATGACGCTCACGCCCGTGGGTGGCTACACCGTCAGTGTCACGACGCGGTCGTCCATGACGACGCCGGTCTCGGGGACCTTCACGATTGCCTACGGACTCGGCTGCATCGACGGTGCGACGTCGGAGTCGGCGTCGTGCGGGCCGCAGCAGACGCCGGCGCTTCCGTACAACGTCGATGCCGTCACCATGCAACATGAAATCTCGCTGCTTCCAGGCCTTGGCGCAGCCACGGTCACCCGTGTCGGCCCCGACTACCTCAACGGGTTCACATGGTCGATCTCGTTCCCGCAAGAGCTCGGTAGCATTGCGCTGCTCAACGTTGCTTTGGGTGTGAACCTCGTCGGTACGAACGCCATTGTTGCGGTCGCCGAGACACAGGCCGGCGTCTCGTACAACAACGCTAAAGTCCCGGTGACCGTGTCGTCCAACGGCCAAGATTACTCGTCCCCGGCGGTTGTGTACCAATACGTTCCGACCATCGTCGTGTCGTCGCTGGCGCCGACGCACGGACCAGCCACCGGTGGCACGGAAGTCGTCGTGACCGGGTCGTTCTTCTTCAACTCGTCGGCGCTCTACTGCAGCTTTGGCTCGACGTCCGTCAAGGCGAATACGTACTTCAACAACTCGATGCTGGTGTGCATCGCACCACCGCGAGGGAACAACGCCGCGACGGTGGCGGTCGAGATCTCGCACAACGGTGTCGGTCTCGCCAGCACTTCGTCTGAGAGTAAGGTGCGCTTCACCTACGATACGCCGGTGGTTGTTCAGACGGTGACACCGACGTCGGGACCAATGACGGGCAACTTTTCAGTGCACATCTCTGGTGGTCCATTTTTGCCGACGTCCGAAGTCCGTTGTCGTTTTGGAGCACTCGTTGTGTTGGCTACGTATATGCACTCGGATCGCCTTCGGTGCGTTGCCCCCAGCCTCCCGGCGGGGACGTATGCTCTCGAGGTTTCTCTCAACAACCAAGACTACACAATGACGCGCTGGCCTTTCTACTTCTACCCGAACCCGATACTGTCGCGCATCGTTCCCGTCTTTGGCCCGGCCACCGCGGCCGGCACCGCCATCACGATCTTCGGCACGGGGTTTGTCAACGTGTCGAGTTTGGTCTGTCGTCTCGGAAAGACGGTTGCACCGGCCACGTTCGTCTCGTCGACACAGCTGCGCTGCTTGGCACCGGCGCTCTCCGATTTTAGCAGTGGTTTTCAACCGATGCCGCTCTCAGAGCAACGCAACACATACCCCGACCCGAGCACTGGCAGTCGCCTTCTTTTCCCGACGGCGTGGCACTTTCCACTCGTCAACGGACGTCTCGTTGCCGTCGAAGTGTCCAACAATCAGCAAGACTACACATACAGTGGTGTCAACTTTATGTACTACGACGACGCAACCGTCGCGGCGGTGACGCCGACGCGGGCGTTTGCAACCGATGCGATCGCACTCTTTGTCCTTGGCGCGGCCTTTCTCAACACAACGGAGCTCCGGTGTCGCGTTGGACCGACGACCGTGCGCGGGGTCTTCTTGACACCGAACGTTACGCTGTGCATCGTGACTTCGAGCCTACTGGAAACGACGCTCCCAATGACGTCGACGACGTCTCCCAATGATCAGGTTCCGACGTTTTCGGAAGATGGTCAGTATCTCTTCGTGGAGGTGGCCAACAACGGCGTCGACTTCACAGCCAACCGCGTCGGGTTCGAGTATCTCGGTCGTTGTCCGACGGGTGCTTACTGCCCCGCAACACTGCAAGGACGGCAAGTAACGTGCCCCCGCGGCACTTATTGTCCAGGCGTCGGCAATGCGAACTATACTCTCTGCCCCCGGGGCACGTATCAACCGCTTCTAGGGCAGTCGGACTGCGTTCGGTGCCCCATTGGATACCATTGCCCTCACATTGGGTTGCACGTGCCCCGCGTATGCCCCGCTGGCTATGTGTGCGATGTCACGGGTATTGAAGAAGCCGACCAGCCATGCCCCGTTGGCCATTTTTGTCTGGAAGGCACGGCAACGACCGCAACGACGTGTGGAAGCCCCGTCGCGTCGCGCAAGCTGGCCGGCACCTACACACAGGGCGAGCGCCCATCGACGCTGCGCAAGGGCCGGCGTGCGACACCCCAAGAGCTTGTGCTCGGTGGTCGGAATGCCGGGTGCTGGGACAACAGCACGGCCGACTTTGGTCTGCAGCTGAGCGCGAACCCGAGCCGGTTCTGGATGGAGCTACACCAGTTGCCATTGTCGTCCGACACGACGAGCTTTGTGCCCCTGCGCGGACGCTACTGTATGGACGATGCGTGCTTGAAGGTCCAGAGCCCACTCTCGGTGCAGGACACGGTGTTCGACTACGCGTCGACGGGGTTTGCTCTCCGACGTCCGGTGCCGTGTCCGATGGGCACCTACTGCCATGCTGGCACGGCGGGCAACGTCTCGACGATGAAGAACTTTACCATGCCTCAACCGTGCTTTGAGAGTATGTACTGTCCGGAAGGAAGCGTTGCACCGGTGGGCCAAGGCGACTGCCCGACGGGCCACTACTGTCCGTTTGGCGTCAAGCTACCGTGTCCTGTTGGCACCTACTGCCCGAGCACGGGCAACTACGAGCCGCTTCCGTGCCCGCCCGGCACGTTTAACGGTATGGTGGGCCAGTCGTCGTGCACGCCGTGCCCCGCGGGCTCCATTTGTCCAGGGTTCAACCGTGTCCAGCCCGTGTTGTGCCCAGCGGGATATGTCTGTTCGCGCGACCAGCTCGAGTCGCCCAACATCCTTTGCCCACCCGGGTCTTTTGCCTCGAGGGTCTCTTGACCTCGGACCCATTCCGAAACGACACGACGCTTCGACCCTACCCGTGCCGTCCCGGCACCTACTGTCTGGGCGGTGTCGTCGCCGATACCGTCGTGACGGGCGATTTCTCGTACGCTCAAAACTGCACCGCCGGTTTCTACTGCGAACTTGCGTCCGTGTCGCCAAAGGGCATGGGCATGTGCCCACCGGGCTTCATGTGCCCCGAAGGCACGGCCGCGCCGATTCCGACGCCGCTCGGCACATACGCGCAGCGCAGCGGCACCGTGCAAGCCGCACAGTGTGCACCGGGGTACTATGCACCGACGATCGAGACGTCCGAGTGCTACCCGTGCCCGCCAGGTACGACGTGTCAAGACGACGGCATGAGTGTGGCCGTCTTGTGTCCGCCCGGTACATACTACTGCACGTGGCCTGTGTGTTAATATGCGCGGGTTCTAGGCACCTATCGAAGTACGTTGGAGGTTGACGGGATCGCCTGCGTGCCATGTCCCCAAGGCACGTGGTCCAAGAACTGGGGTCTCCGCGACGTGACCGAGTGCATGCTTTGCCCGCCAGGCACCGTCTGTGCCACGGACGGCATGACAAATCCGTGCAGCAACAGCGACCTGCCGCTGCCATACGTGCCAACGAACGCTGGCGAGTCCATGGAGCAGTGTCTCGGGAAGGGTCGCGCCTTCTTCTTTGGCGTCCTCCTCGAGCCTTGGATTGACGCGCATGGTGTTGGGCCGCACTTTTTACCCCACATCTCGGGGCAGTGCTACTACAACCCGCAGCCGTATGGGAGCCCCGTGTACCGTCGGTTCACCGAGTACTTTGGTCCGTTGTACGACATCACGAATGGTATTCCGAGCCAAGGGTATGGCGACAATAGCCAGTCGCCGGGCCCGAGTTACTTTGACCGTGGCTCGCTCTACATGGACCTCACGTACTCGACGGTATTCGACTTGCAGCGGAATTGCACGCGCGGTTTCTTCTTCAAGGACGCGTGGTTTCCCGGCACGTGCGAAGCCGACTTGATTTGCTACTCGACCAAAATCGCGCAGGCGCTCATCTGCCCCGAGGGCTTCATCTGCGACGAGGCGACCACCGATGGCTCGTCGCTGAGCACGCCGTGTGCACCGGGGTACGTCTGCGCGTTTGGGTCGACGCCTGACACGTACCTCGAGTCGCCACAAGGTCAGTACAGCATGCTCTGCCCGCGGGCGCACTTTTGCCTCGAAGGCACGGGCGAGGGCTTCATGAAGCACGACCCGTGTCCGGCCAACTACTTTTGCCCCACCGGCACCGTTGACCCGTGGCACGGCCTCGTCGCCAACGACGCTTTGCGCCGGGGCCTTTCGTCGGCGCTGGCAAACCCGTTTACGACCGCGGACAGCATCGAGTATGTCAACGAAGGCGACGTCCGCGGCTTCTCGGCCCACGATCTGCGCTGCCTCCTCGCCATCGACCCCGAGCTGCAAGAGACGTTTCAGTTGGTCAATAGCGTCGTGTACAACGTTGCCATCGAGAACGACCTCGCGTGTGCGCGCGACCACAAGTGGCGCCACGTCGTCAACGCCATCACGCGCGGCGAGTGCAACTGCACACACCAAGTCGTGCTGACACTCGACCTGCACAAGGTCTACAGCTGCACGCTGCCTTCCTGCGCCCTTAGCTCGCTGCGTCTTGTTCTCGGTGCGACGTCGGCGGGGGGCGTCACCTTTCCGTTCGCTCCGAGCGCCGTGTACGCGTCCTACACAGCGCTGGCCGCCGATGCCACGGCAACGTACAAGGCCCAAACGCTGACAGCGATGCGGGCGCCGATCAGCGATACGCTCTACGACACGTACATGGCCGTGCAACGGATTGCGTCCTGGGGTGCGTCGACACCGACGATGTTCAATGTCGATGGCAGCGGAAACGTGCTTCGACCTGACTTTTGCGAGTGCCAGCGCCTTCTCAAGTGCCCGAACGGCACGACGTCGCCGATCGCCTCGGACGACATCTTTGACTGCGTCAAGACGGGAGTCATTCTCGAGCGCATCGACTTGATTCCGCCGCGCCACCCGCGCCAGCTCAACGGTATTTGAATCCTTCCACGCTTCTTGATCTTATAAAGAGGACCGTAGGTACCGACTATAATGTGCTCTCTGGCACGGGGCACCCATCAGTACATTGCAACTGGAGCCGTACGAAGTCGCGACCGTGACCATCAACGCCACGGGCATGGACCCCAACATGACGTACAACGACCATTACCGCTTCTCGGTCTACAAAAACTGCAAGCCGTGCCCGCCCAACTACAGCTGCAACTTGTACGCGATCCCGCCGGCGTGCACGTACCCCGGCGGCCGCAACACGACAGGGATCGCGCTCTACAATGCGTGTTTGGCGTCCGCGTCCGCCGACGTCTGCGATGCGATCCCGTTCTTTTGCGAGACGCGGAGCAAGGTGAACGTGGACGGGACGCTTCAAAGCACCCCTGGGTGTTGCGCTTGCGAGCACGAAGAACTGCCGGTCTTTTTCCAAACCAACGCGCCCATGCTCGGGTTTCCCGATGACAAGCACGGAATGGTGCAGTTTACGATAACCGCGGTCGCCCAAGTCGACGTGACAATCGTCGCAGAGCTCTTCCACGGGCTCTACTACCGCAGCTTTGCAGAGGCGTTTGCAACGGCGAATATCCACCTCAGCGTCTTTACACCGTCGCGGGCCTACTACACGCCGACGACGCCGACGTCCAATGCGTTCTTACCGGTCCTGCAGTCGTCGGACTTTACGTCGCTCGCGCTGCCGCTGAATCTGCCCATGTCCCGCGTGCGGATTCCCGGGTCGCTCAGCTTTCAAACGTCGCTCGAGACGTCGCTCTTCATTGACCGGATCGCGGATGTGTTTGTGGGCGACCCGACGCTGCCGTCGGCGGTCGGCTTCACGCGCCTCACCGGGCAACAGGCGCTGCTCGGAACCGTCCCGAATGGGTCGACGCAAGTGCTGCCGACCAACCTCTTTGGCAACAAGATCGTGCCCGACCCGCTCAGCGACGTTGCGTACTCGTCGCGGTGGTGGCTCGACACGCAGCCTGGTGGTGTGGAGGCGATTGCACTGCCGTACTTGCCGTACTTTAGTGCCTGTGCGGGCTACGACTCGCACATGTCGTTGGCCAAGCTCCTAGAGACACACCCGGACTGCGTCGACGTCGACTACAACGTAACGCGTCCCGTCGACGAGCTGCTGTGGCGAAAGAAAACCGTGCCGCTCGCCGACACGTGCAAAGTGCTGACGTCGGGCATCGAGCTCCAGTGCGTCTACGAAGAAGACCTCGAGGGTGGCACGGACCAGCCGCGCTGGTACGAAGCGGACCCTGGCACCAAGCTCTTCTGGCTCACGCGGTACCCGATCGCTGCGTCCGACTTTGTCGGGAATGCATCGAGCTCGAACCCCATCTACTGGGGCGAGACCGACGTCATTATGAACCTGCTTGGGACGTCGGATCTCGTAGGCGTCGCCTGTACGTCTTTTCTGTAAGGTCTTATTGGATCTGACACTGCGCCTAGTGGGCCCTAAGACGCAGGGATACTCGATGGTGATGGCGCAAACCGTCGCGCTCCGCATCAACTATTACCAGATCACGGAAGGGCAAAAGATCCTTGTAAACGCCCAAATTGACTTGACCGACCAGTGCGTCGTGTCGAAGGCGCCACAGGACGTGGCGAACGCGGCCGTCAACGGTGCGAACGAACCCGTCCTTGTATGCAACATCATACAACGGCGCTCGATGTAGGTATTTACCCCTGTGTGACGAACGTCGTCACGGGCGGCTTGCTCTCCAAAGCCTACACGCTCCAAGTGAGCTTCCAAGCGCTGGGGTGGTACGATCTCATGAACCAGTTTCGGTTCTCGATCCGCGTCTACCTCCTGCTCTTTACCGTCATCGGTGTCGGCATGGTCGTGCAAGGCGTACGTCCTCTCTCTCCAAATATGCCGCCTTTCTATCGTTTTCTTGGATTGTAGCATCTCGTCTATTTGATCAACCGCGTTTTTACCAAGATGCGCCACCCACCGCCGTTCCGGCTTCGGGAATTTCTCAAAGCCACGGCGCCACAGCCAGCGTTCGGAACGCTCCTTGCGGTTGTGCCCATCATGTTTGTGACCTGCGTCATTTATGGCTGGTGGAACGTCCTCAAGTCCAATGCGCCAGTGTTCAACCCGAGCGCCTACTCGTTCGAAGGCGTCTCGGGCGATTGGCTCTACATTGCCGCATTGGACGCGGCGCACATCAAGGCGTTCAAAGCGGGTCGTGTCGGCGTCTCACTACTGGCCTTTGGCATGTTCCTCCTCCTCCTCGGCATGAAGTACATGATTCCAGACAACATGGACCAGCAAAGCGAGGACAACTTGATGAACCAGTCGTCGCTGCAAGAGCCCACCGACCCGTTCGAGCTCCCGATCCCGAAAGACGACGAGAAACTGACCTCGTTTGAAGGCGAAAAAGAGAAGGGCGAGAGCACGTACTGGAACCCGCGGGCGTGGAAGCGGGCCAACTTGATCCTTGCGTCGTGTGTGACGGTCCTTACCCAAGTGGCCATCATTGAATTCTCGTATTCGGCCACGTTTACGAACAAGCCGTTCCAATACTGGACGCTCTACAAGCTGCTCGAGCACGTCTACGACGCGTACCTGGGTGATGCGCTCGGGGACACGCTTCTGTGCTTACCCCACTCGATCCTGATCGGGCTCACGGAATTGATCATCACGCTGGCAGCGCCCGATTTCTATGGCTTCCTCATGGGTCTCATTGCGATGCAGTGCTTTATGATCATGGAGCGGCTCTTCGTCAACCCGTGGATCGAAGACATCAATCGGCTCATGCCCAAGTGGAAGCTGCAGTTCCACCGCACGTTTCGCAAGAAGCGCCGGCGCACGCGCGAGCAAAAGGCCAAGGAGGAGGCCGAGTGGCGCACGCTGTGCCAAGAAATTGACGAGGCCGGCGCCGGCGTCGAGGTCATTTGCGGCGCGTTCATCGACACGTCGCTCGGCGCCGCGTCCATGTACCTCTCGCCGCTCGTCATGGGGCTCATCTACCTCTTCAGCGTCGAGACGCAGATCGCAGCCTTGTACGGCATCCTCGAGAGCGATTTGATGTACTACATCATCTTTGCGGTCGTGACGATTCCGTTTGTGAGCGTCCTCGACGTCGTGCTCTGGAACACGCAGGAACTGGTGCATGGCTGGAAAGCATACGAGTACGCGACGTACCAGCGCCATCGGTTCAGCGTCCGCAAGGAGCGCTGGATTCTCAACTCGAAATTTCGCGACAAGTCGCTCGAAGAAGGCTTGCAGGACGTCGACATGCTCTGCTTCTCGTCGCAGTACTACTTCCTCATTGTCATCTACGCGTCCGGCCTCGTCTTCCTCGTCTTTGGCCTCTCGATCTTCCTCCGGCAAAGCTACAACCCGCTCGGCGACGTCCTCATGCCCGTCATCTTTGTCCTCGTGTTTGCCTTTTGCACGGCCGTCACGCGCGTCTGCCTGTACCTCGGGCACAAGGCTAAGATCTGGGTCCCGAAAGGGTTGCGCGGCTCGATTGACGATGAGATTGCTGCGAAACTGGCTGTCGGCGCCGGTCGCCAAGAAGACATGGAGATGGAGCGCATGGAGATGGCGGCGCTCAACTCGGAGCGGTTCCGACACCGCTTCATGGAGCGCAATCGGCCGTGGATTCTCCAGCACATGGTCGAGCTCTTCACGCCTCGGACGCTGCAGATGCCCGGCCCGCTCCATGACGGCAAGCCCAACATCGAGTACATCCGCGACATTTACAACGAGCTGCTCAATATGGGCGAGGGCAGGCGCTTGGCGGGCGACGACCCCAACATCTCGTCCGACGACGAAGACGACCTCTTCAAGATGCGGCAAAACTGGTCCAACGTCCCCGTCGACGGCGCCTCGAGAGACCTCGCGCTCTACTGGCTCGCGAAAGCTCGGAAACGCATGGCGTTCGGGAAGCTCATTGCTGGCATTTTGCTCCAGCACAAGCAAGAGGCGTGTGCGCTGTGTCTCAAGTCCGTTGCCGGCGGCTACACGATGACGGTCGACATTGCGACGCCGGATGGAAAGGAGCAAGACCGCGCTGGCCTCGACCGGCTCATTCGCGGCTTTGAAGCCAAGTACGGGGAGCGCGAAGCTGACTCGGATCTCTGGAAGGCCTACTTTCGGCAGCACGCAGTCTTCATTACGCTCTGCAACGTCTGCGTCTCGGTGCTCGAGCAAAAGCGACTCGCGCGCATCGTCGCGGTGCCGCCGTACGTATCCACTCGATGGAGATCTGGCCTTTCTGAGTTTGCACTTGCATAGGCGGCAGACCCGCGCCGACGATCTGAGCTCGGACGACGACGACGAAGACGGCATCGACGTCGTCTTTGAACCAATGGTTGTCTCGCGGACCTCGAGCGAAGGGCGGGTGATGTCCAAGTGGCTCCAAGCCGCGCGGAAGCGGCTCGGCGGCGTCTTTCCCCGCGACTCGGCGCGGGCCGAAATGGAAGCGTACGCGGAGAAGATGCGCGCCAAGAAGGCCCGCAAGACCAAAAAGAAGCGCGTCGACTCGGACGACGAGGACCCGAGCGTGCACTGGAAGGTCTCGCTCACCGAAGCGTCGCGCGCGATCCTTCTCAAGTGGACGTGGCAAGCGCGGGACAAGCAGTTTGCGGCCTTTCGCGCCAAAGCGTCGAGTCTCCGATTGCAAATCGAGGCGACGGCGCACAAGATGCACGAGGTCGACGACTGGTTCTACTCGAAAGAGCTGCGGCTCGAAGGCGCGTCGCTCGAGGCAGCGGGCAAGCAGCTCCTCGAGGACCAGCTCGCGCTCGAAGGCGACGCGCAAACCAAGAGCCGCACGGCCACGCAGGAGCTCGACGCCTATGTGACGGAGAAGCGCGCGGCCATGACCAAGGAGATCGACACGTTCAACTTGATGCTCGAGAAGGAACTCGCGAGCGCGAAGAGCAGCAGCGCCGCGAAAGAAGCCGAGCTCGCCGAGGCCAAGCGAGCCAAGGAAGTCGAGTTCCTCGAGCTGCAAAAGCAAGCCAAAATCGACAACAACGGCAAAGTGCCGCCGATGCTGCTCAACGAACACCGCGCGTACCTTGCCAAGATGGACGACGACCGGTACAAAGCGCGCGACGACATTGAGAGCGCGGCGGCCGAGAAGGCCAAGCAGAAGCAAGATGCGTTCAACCGCAAGATCGCGCTGAGCGAGCAAGGCATTCTCAACCGCAGTGCGCTGCATGCCCACCGCTTGCTTGCGATCCGGAAGGAGATGATGACGGCGCTGCGGATGCAAGAGAAAACGTGGCAGAACAAGGCCACGAGTTGGCTCGAAAAGGCCACGCGCAAAGTCGCTGTCAAGGAGCAAGAGGACGCCGCGAACGCGCTCGCAGCCAAGAAGCGCAAGAAGGCCTAAGAGCTGATTTATCTATATTGTATGTATCAATCTATCGAGTTGTAACGACGATACAGTATCGATGTATCAGACGACGCAAGACCAAGGTGGAAGACGCGCTTGCTTTACAATGCCTATCAGCTAAACGTGTGGCCATCAAAGTCGTCCGAGTCGGACGAGAAGAGACTGGCATTGGACTGGCTACCCGACGTCGGACTCGTCGCGTCGCTTCGGTTGAGGAGCGCGAGGAGACCATGTATCTGCTTTTTGTAGTCGAGGCAGCTGCAGTATTCGGGCGAAATCGCCTGGCACGGCTGCGGCGTCAAGAGCCGTTCCGGCGTCAAGCACGAGAGGTCAAGGCGTCGCCGGCAGTGGCCATCGGCGGCGAATTGCGGCAAGCGCAAGCAGCGCTGGCACAGCTTCCAGTCGTTGTACTGCGGTGGGCATCGCCGCAGTGTCTTGCAGCCACGCGGCATGTACCGCTGGCATTGGTAGCACGTGTTCTTGCGCACGCAGGTCGCAACGAGGAGCCGCCGGTTCGTGCTCGGCTTGATACGCGTCGGCGACACCTTGAGCTGCGTGCGAAGCACGCGATCCCATAGCGACGCGTCCATGAGGTGATAGAGGTACCGGCAGCTGCTCGAGAGCGACAAGAGCTCGCTCGCGTCGAGAAACTCGGCGATCGCGACGAGGATCTCGCGCGCAGTCGTGAGCAGGCGCGACGCCCATATGTGGCTATGGACGCTCGGCTCGGCGATGACGATGAAGGTGCTGTAGGCGCGCGTGACCTTCCCGGCGCCGTCGGGCGGTCCCCGTCGTTTCATGCGCAGCAAAATAAGAAATCGAATCCCACGTTCGATTTAATGCTGTAAATCGGACCAATCAGCGACGCGCTCCGCTGTAACCCAATGGAACGCAATGTTTTAAAATGTGCCCAAATCCGCCATCGTTTTAATGCGCCTCCGATCGCTTATCACTGTATATTTGTATGCATGAGGCCAGCACGGACAATAAAAATGGAATAAAATATCGCGCTGGATCGCAAGGGTGTGTCACAACGGCGGCCGGCGAAGACAAGACGAAGACGAGCCAGCAGCATGGCGTCCGAGAGCCACCTCCGCGTCCAGTACGAGTCGCTCCTCAAGGAGAACAAGCAGCTCAAGGGCTCGGTCGAGAAGCTCGAGCGCGAGAACCATGACCTCAAGCGCTCGGTCTATGAGCTCAGCCTCAAGTGCGGTGAGATGCGGCAAGACACGCCAGGCTGACGTGTGGCTAGGTTGGATGGCATCGCGCCGAGAAGCGCGCTGGCGACAACGAGCGCTGGCGCCATCAGTTCAGCGAGTGCCACTGGTGACGGCGGCTCGGCCGTCTTTCGCATGAACGACCTCTTGGCCAAGGATGCGAGCCAGGAGAACGCTCCGTCGTACCTCGAGACCATGGCGCAGGCCGGCGACGACGACGATCCGACCGCACACCAGAACCGCGTGCTCTACCAAAAATCGGAGCTGCGTGGTCATGGCGGTACGCTACATGGTTGCATGCATCGCGGTGCGTGACGTGACTGCTGCTAGGGGCTGTGTATACGACCAAGTTTTCGCCCTGCGGCCGCCTCCTCGCGTCGGGCTCCCTGGATTGCCGCGTGCTGCTCTGGGACATCACGACCAAGTTCAACCAGCAGCAGTTGGCGTCCCTCACGCAGCACAACCAACTCATCATCGACATCAGGTGCGTGGTCGGACTTGTCGTTGGCACTGACGAGGTCTCCACACTAGCTGGTCCAACGACAGCCGCTCGCTGCTCTCGGCGTCGTACGACCACACGGTGAACCTCTGGGACACGGACAAGGGCCAGCTCCTCAACAGTGTCGGCGTCAACGGTCTTGTCCAAACGGTCGCCTTCAACCCTGCTGGTACCTCCCAATGTAAGATGACGCGCCGCCGTCACAATTGCCGTAGACAACGACATGTATTTCATTGGCACGAGCCAGAAGAGCGTCCACGTGCTCGATGTCCGCACCGGTCTTGCCTCGTACGTCGTCTCTTGCAGCCGTATGCGTCACATGCTCTCGTAGCTCGTGGGGCCATGACGCGATGGTCAACTCGCTCTACGTGACGTCCGACGGACAGCAACTCATCACCGGCGACAGCAAGGTAGAGCGACTCGATCGCAAGATAGCATTGATGCAAACTCGCGCAGGGCTGGGTCAAGACGTGGGACGTGCGCGCGGGCAAGGTCATCGACGACCTCTCGCAGCTCAACGACGATGGCCACCACGCCATCTCGCACGTGCACGCATCGCCGGCCGGCGATGGCCGCGGAGGCGACGAAGACGGGCGGTACCTTGCCGTCAACAGCTACGACAACCTCTTGCGCGTCTACGATCGGTAGATCCCCGTGCACTCGGATTGACGTTTCTCATCCGCTGGTATCCTAGCGGCTCCAAGCTCATTAGCAACACGCAGGGCGTGGACCCGATGCAGCTCAGCTACTTTGTCGCTGGTACGTGACCGAATCGATGCGACGACGACGCACGGCGTTGATGTAGGGCACAAGAATAAGAACTGGCCGATCAAGAGTTCGTTCTTCCGTGGCGAAGGCAACACGTACAAGCTTTCGCTGCCGTCCAACCGGTTCCCGAAGCGCAAGCTCACGGACGGCGACAACGAAGACCTCGGGTACCAGGACCGGTACCTTCTTCGTGTAGCTGCGTGTCGTCTTGTGTATCAACACACAATGCATGTGTAGCGAGCTCCAGGAGAAGCCCGACGAAGTCATGCTTCTCGCGACAGGCAGCGCCGACAACACCATCTACCTTCACGACGTCACGTGCCGCCGCGGCTATGGCCTCAACGGATCCACGAGCCTCCTCCAGCGCCTCGAAGGCCACACAGACCGTGTCTACTCGGTGGACTTTCACCCGAACGAGCCGATTTTGGCGTCGGCGTCGGCCGACTTTACCGTCAAAATCTGGCTGCCCCGGACGTCGCGCTTGAACAAACCGTCGTAATGATGGTAATTGGATTCTCGTCGCTGTCTTGTAGCTTTGCAGTCCCAGCGCCATCCGACTCGCTCCGGACATGCCGCGTCTGCGGTCATGCTCAAACGCCTCAACGCAGTGCCAAGCCCCAACCGACTTGTACTTGCGATTGGCTACGATCCCTCCGCACTTGATCGCGTCCTCCAAGGGCATGCAGCCATGACCGTGTCAAAGACGGCCCAGGGCGAAGGGGGCTCGGGCAAGAGCTACGTCGCCAACTTGCTTTTGGCCAAAGCCCGCTCATGTCGCGCTTGCCGTTGCATCGTCGGGGCTTGCATCCGTGCTTCTCATGAGCAGCACGACATACCGCTTCAAGATTCTCGGCCCCGAGAAGCGCTGCAGCGTCGCAATTCAATCGGCGCTGCTCCGTGACGCCAAGCTCATTGTCGGGGATGAGTGCTCCATGATCCACAAGCAAGCGACCGAGGCGGTCAGAGATATGCTGTGCGACATATCTCTGACCGCCTGGGTCGCTTGCTTGTGAATCATGGAGCACTCGTCCCCGACAATGAGCTTGACATCACGGCAAGACCGTCGTGTTTCTCGGTGACTTCAAGCAGACACGTCCCGTCGTTCGCGACGGCAGCGACATTGTCCGAGCCTGTCTTCAGCGCAGCGCTACAAGGCGCGACGTCGATGTTGTTGGCTTCAACATGCGGCTTTACCTGGGCGTCGATGCCGACCCGGCCGCGACCCGGCCGCGTACGCCGACTTTATCTTGCAGATTGGCCACGGGACGGACGGCACGGAATACAACGACGGCTTTGGCGAAGATGTCTTCAAGCTTCCAGACGACATGGTTCTGGACGTCATTGGGGCCACGCCCGAGGTTGCGCTCATCGACCATTTCTACGGCGACCTTGGCAACACGCCGATCGAGAACGTACTGCGTACCTCAGTGAATGTGC